TCGTCTGGCCGCGCCCTAGCCAGAGGAGGGTTCATTCCTCTCGCCCGCTCACGCAGCTTCGACTCGCCCGCACGCACGACACGAACACGAAACCGAAACCGATTTCCCGCTGGGGAGCTCTCCGTTCCACAGCGGTCTCAACCATTCACTTCCGATACATGTATGAATTATCCGTTCTAAACTATATGTATATCATGATATCTCTCTCTCCCCTCTCTCCCGCACTGGGCTCATTCGTAATACGGTTGATCTTCCTATATTCGGACTCGCGCGTCCGCTGACAGGTCTCTTCGGAGTTCCACGGAGACCTCCCTCCCCAGACTGGACCACGGCGCCCCCCAACACGGCCACGCACACTCGGCCGAGCACAAGACAGCGGCTGCACCCGCGGGCACGGCCACGGACGCGAGCGGAGCCGGCACGCAGACGCCCGGAGCAAGGCGGGCCGCGACGGAAGCTACTCCAGATTTCGCAATAAAAGGGAGGGGGTCTGGACCCTCCAAGACAAGCCATTCCAGACCCCCCCCGTGGGAGAACCCTCCAGAACATCGTCCCCAGACTCCCCAGGCCCTCCAAGACAGCCTGGAAGAGACCCCCCCCCCCGAAATGAGACCCCCCTCCCTTGATTACGAGGTCTGGAGCACCCCTGGACGCCACACGCACACGACAGAGCGCTGCAGGCACCGGGCCGGCCTGCCGATGGCCGTGCCGAGGGCGCCCGCGCCCGCCGCCGCGGCGGGCGGCGCCATGGCTCGCGCGGCGCCGGGCCGCGCCGGGGCGCCGGGCCCCGCCATGCCCGGGGCCCTGCCACGGCCGCGCGGGCGGCGGCCGCGCCGCGCGGCGGCAGGCTGTGCCAAGCCGCGGCGAGCCCTGGCTGCGCTGCCGCTGCCGCTGCGCAGGGCGCGTGGCGTCTGCTCTGGTGGCGTCTCCTCCTCCTCCCTCCTCCTCCTCCCCCTCCTCCTCCTCCTCCTCCCTCCCTCCTCCTCCTCCTCCTCCTCCTCCTCCTCCTCCTCCTCCTCCTCCTCCTCCTCCTCCTCCTCCTCGGCCTCTCCCTCCTCCTGGCGCTTCCCGCTGGCGGTGGAGGGTCGAGCGAGCCTCGGGAGCCCAGGGCGGAGACCGGTGCTCCGGAGGGGAGGGTCGCGAAAGCGGCACCCGTGTGCCCAGGAGACGCCCAGGGGAGAGCACTTCGCCGTGCTTCCGCTCCCCTGCCGAAGGCTGAACCAGGGGAGGCCAGTCAGCGCAGGGTGCTGTGAGACTTCTCAGTGCCTAGCGAGGACGCAAGCCCGCGGGCAGAAATGGGTCGTCCTGGTCTACAGAAGAGGACGGGGATATTCGCCAGTCCCACGGGACAGAGGCGCATTAGATCCCTTACACAGGCAAGTGGAGAGGGAGGAGGAGGAGGAGGAGGAGGAGGAGGAGGAGGAGGAGGAGGAGAGGAGGAGGAGGAGGGAGGAGGAGGCGGTGGAGGAGGAGCAGGAGGAGGAGGAGGAGGAGGAAGGAGGAGGAGGAGGAGGAGGAGGAGGAGGAGGAGAGGGAGGGAGGGAGGAGGAGGGAGGAGAGGGAGGGAGGAGGGAGGGAGGGAGGGGGAGGGAGGGAGGAGGGGGGGAGGGGGAGGAGGAGGAGGAGGAGGAGGAGGAGGAGGAGGAGGAGGAGGAGGAGGAGGAGGAGGAGGAGAAGAAGAAGAGGAGGGGAGGAGGGAGGAGTTGTTGTTTGTATCTAGTCCGCGCGCGGGGGCGGTCCTGGAGGTCTGTGGACCTCAATGGGCCCCAGGAGGAGCTGGCGAAGAGCGGGCGCAAAAGCCCCCCAAGAGCGCACCAAGAGTGCGGATCAACGTGTGTCAGGCTTCATGCTGGCCCCAAGGCGGTCCCAAAACTGCCACAAGATGGTGCCAAGGTGGACCCAAGATGATCCAAGATGACAAAAGACAGCCCACTTGAATACACAGACGGCCCAAGACGACGGAAGAATCTCTCCTCGAAAGCTCTCAAGATGGTCAGAATCTCCAATCTCCGGTACAAGCACGTGTTGATCGAATGCTTGGGCTATCCTGCCCGAGCGAACTTCAATTGGCTTCTCGGGCCCCGAAGTGACCCCAAGAGAGCTAGAAAAGAGGCCTAAGAGGGCTCACAACACCCTGAGAGGGCCCCAAGAGGGCCCCAGAGCCCCCACAGGGCCCAAGAGCGGCACAACAGCGGAGGTCAGAGGGAGGCAGGCTCCATGATGGCACCAAGACAGCCCCAAGACGTCTCAGGATGACCCCAAGGTGCCAGGTAGCCCAAGGCAGCCCCCAAGGAACCCTCCAAAGGCCCCGAGAAGCTCCTGAGAGGCCCCTGGGAAGCCCCTGGTAGTCTCCAGAGATCCCCCAAAGACATCAAGCTCGCCAGAATCAGTTTGTTGGCACACCTAGAAAACGATTCGATGAGTTCGCCATTCCTGCCCCTGCGGGCTCGAAGGGCTCCTTGGCCCACGCGGTGACACCAAGAGGTCCCCAAGAGAGCCACGAGGGCCCCGAGGCCCCCCGAGAGGGCGCCGCCCTCTGACAAATGTTGGCAGACAAGGGCTTACAGAAGCGCCCAGCTGTCCTTCCTTCCATCCTTTCTTCCTTCCTCCCTCCTCCCCCTCCTTCCTCCTTCCTCCTCCTCCTCCTCCTCGCCCTCCTCCTCCTCGCGTTTCAAGGCGACCGAGGATCTCCCCCTCCTCCCCCTCCTCCTCCTCCTCCTCCTCCTCCTCCTCCTCCTCCTCCTCGCCCTCCTCCTCCTCCTCCTCCTCCTCCTCCTCCTCATTCTCCTCATCCCCCTCCTTCTCCTCCTCCTTGCCCTCCTCCTCCTCCCTCCTCCTCCTCCTCTCCTCCTCCTCCTCCTCCTCCTCCTCCTCTCCTCATCATCATCATCATCATCATCATCATCATCATCATCATCATCAGCTTCCTCCTCCTCCTCCCTCCTCCTCCTCCTCCTCTCATCCTCCTCCTCCTCCTCTTCCTCCTCCTCCCCTTCCTCCTCGCTCTTCAGGGCGACCGAAGAGCTTTAAATTCGGCGCACCCCACGCGCACGCCATGCCGCCTGGACCTCCAGAAGCTCTCGGCCAGCCCCCCTGGGACGGCTCCTGGGAGCCTCAAAATCCACCGCACCCGCACACGCAGTTCGTGCCCCTTGGGCCCCCAGAGATATCCAGCTCCTCCTCCTCCTCCTCCTCCTCCTCCTCCTCCTCCTCCTCCTCCTCCTTCCTCCTCCTCCTCCTCCTCCTCCTCCTCCTCCTCCTCCTCCTCCTCCTCCTCCTCCTCCTCCCTCGTCCTCGTCCTTGTCCTCCACCTCCTTTGTCCCTTCCTCTTTCTCCTCCTCCTCCTCTTTCTCATCCTCCTCCCTCCTCCAAGATGACTGAATAATTTTTCAGTTCGACGCACCACTCACGCACGTACGGCCCCATGGACCCCAGGGACCCTGAGCTGGCACCCCAAGGATCCTGACAGAGGTCCCAGAGCGCCAAAGAGAACAACTTTAGGCCACGTGCCCACAGTCGAAGCCAAGAGGGCGTCACAAGAAGCAGCTGTGATGATCAGTACCGACCCAAGCCGAAGTCGTGCCTCCGAACGCTCACTGAATGTGAGATGCACGAGCTCGTTTCCCCCCGGGGGGGAACCTGCCGTGACAACCGCGCTGCACGCCCAATGAAGCTCATCGCCAGCATGGAGACAAGTGTTCAGTAGGAGAGAGCTGGGATAGACATCGTGGGGTTGGAACGGGGGCGCCTGGACACGACATGTGGCAACTTCTCGCAACGTGGGCGCAATCGGTTTGTTTCGTGTGGGCCGTCAGTCTTCATAGCAAAGCGCAGCCCAGAAAACGAAAGCAAATGGCGCGTGCCAGTGCGAGAAGCTGGCATCCACTGGATCATATCCAACATATGGCCCTCCCGGTCCATCTTGCGGCCGACACGGGACCAAAGCAAGCGTCAGAATGTGAAGAAATGTTGACGGTCCTGTCTCCCTGGGCAGAACGACGAACGACGATGCCTCTCTAACATACCACAAGATGTTTGAACCTCACACGTACATGCTGAGCTACTCAAAGCGGCGTGTACTAGGGTGTGCACATGTGATCCAACACGGCGAGTCCGCACCCGCTTACGCGGGTGATCATCACCCGTCGAGGCAACGGCACATTAGCACTTTGCCTCAGAAACGATGTCCTCAATACACAGCCTCCAATTACGGCGGCGCCACGCCGATCCCAGCTCCGCACGCTCATGATGTTCGCACCGACTGACTGGAACCGATCTGCGACGACGACGGCTCTGCAAGCGTGCAGCTCCCTTCCCTCCACGACCTGCACGGTTCGACCGGATGGTTACTGCTCGGTCCTGGCAACTAGCTGGAGCACCTTGCGTCCGGTACACTTAACCCGTAGAGTGAGGATGCAAGGGCCTTGGAAGCCCATTTCGAAGCGTTTCGAGCGGGGCGCGGCCAACGAAAGTGTCCAAGGATGGACCCAGGAAGCAAGGATGCAAGGGTACCCTTGGGAGGGATGCCTATCCTTACTCTGAGGGTCGACTGTACTGATGGTAGCTCTGCGCGCGAGAGGCCGCCCTAGGCTGCTCCGAGGCCCGCTTCTGTCCCACAGCGGTTCCGCTCGCCTGGCGCGCACGACGCGCCGGCCACGTCGGCCGTCGGCCGCTAGGACGCGGCCAGAGGTTTGAGAACTCCCGCGGCAACGAACGAAGTCGCGCGTGCATGTGCGCACATGCGTGGCACACGACTGCGCACAGTCAACCCGCAGAGTAAGGATGCGCGATAAGGATGCAAGGCCCTCGGAAGCTCGTCTCGAAGTTTTCGAGCGGGGCGCGACCAACGAAAGTGGCCAAGGATGCACCGAGGAGGCGAGGATGCAAGGGTACCCTTGGGAAGGTTGCCCGTCCTTACTATGCGGGTTGACTGTATAGGTGGCTGGCAGAACGGACTCGCGTCTGCTTTTCTGCAGCGGCCTCGCGACGCTCGCAAACTCTCAAGCACAGAGTGGCAGCTGCTTCATCTCACCTGCGAGCGGGCGCCAACGCAGAACGCTGTTTTGAATATCGGCTCGGCACAGGCTCTGCAGACAGACCCTGTGTTTAATTCCATCCCGTCCAAACGTTCCACTCCAGACTCTACTCGAGAACCCCTGGCTGAATCCGCCGAACTTGTCGGCGTGTGTGAGGGAGAGTTATGGGTCCGTCATCTCCGAATGTTCCTAAGAGACGATATTTCATTTGATTTGCTCTTCCATTCCTGGAGACTCTACCGAGACCCTCTTAGGCGTGCCAAGCTCGTCAACTCGAGGTTGATCGAGCCAGGTCGCAATCGGAGTGGTAATTGAGCCAAGGGGAAGCCCCTCCCCTTTGATCCCTTCCCAACCTGGGGGGGGAGTCCTGGGGGGGTCCCAGGGGGGCTCCCGGCAGGGTGGGGAGTCCCGGATCAAAGCACAGACCCCCCCTTCCATTTTCGGGCCGCCTTCGAACAAAGGTGGCCCTCCTTCGGAAAATCAGACCCAAGATACTCCAAGAGGGTCCTAAGAGGGGCCAGAGTCGCCGAATAGTTTCTCCAAGCCGCCCAAGATGGCCTCCGGACGGTCCAGGACGCCCCCAAAACTCCCCAAGAGGCCGCCAAGAGCACTTCTAAGAGTAAGAGGTACAAAAAGAAGCCCACAAGAGGCCCCCAGGAAGCCCCAAGACGCTCCCAAGAGGCTCCCTAGAGGCCCCAAGAGGCTCCCAAGAGGCCCCCAAGAGGCCCCAAGAGGCCCCCAAGAGGCCCCCAGGAAGCCCCAAGACGCTCCCAAGAGGCTCCCTGGAGGCCCCAAGAGGCTCCCAAGCGGCCCCCAAGAGGCCCCAAGAGGCCCCCAAGAGGCCCCCAGGAAGCCCCAAGACGCTCCCAAGAGGCTCCCTGGAGGCCCCAAGAGGCTCCCAAGCGGCCTCCAAACTGCCTCCAAAGGCTCCCGACATCCCAAGAAGCATCCATGAGGATTCTGACTCACTACCCAGGCACGGTGGCGGGATGAACCGCAGGCCACTGGATGATCCGCCGCCCCCTTTTGATTCATCACAGTGGTGCCTGGCGTGCTGAACCCTTTCGCTTTTGGTTTTGGTTCTTTTTGCAAAAGAACTCTCCCTGGGACTCCGGCCCAGCCCGCCAGGGTCCTGGAAAGGCCCACAGGAGGTGGTTGGAAACGGTTTTCCTGGCCAAGACCGCTCCAAGACGGCCCAAGATGGCCTCCAAAATGCATCCAAGACGGTCAAGATAGCCTCCAAGACTGCTAAGATGGCCCCAGGATGCCTCCAAGACGGGTCAAGATACACTCAAGACGGCCTAAGATGGCCTCAAGATGGCCCAACACGGCCCAAGACGGCCCCCAAGAGGCCGCCAATACGGCCCAAGAGGCCTCCAAGAGGTCCTCCAGAAAGGCCCGAAGAGGCACGAATCATTGATTCTCTTGGGTTTTTGAAGGATTCTGGCATTGGCGCCTTTTGGGCTTTCTGTCGGCCCAAGACGGGCCAAGACGCCCCCAAGGTCGGCCCAAGATCGCCCGCCCCATGACGGGCCAAGAGGTCCCCAAGACGGCCCCAAGAGGGCCCCAAGAGGGCCCAAGAGGCCCCTAAGACGCCCAAGATGGCCTCGAAGACAGCCAAGATGTCCCGAGATGGTCTCCATGATGCCTTGAAGACGGCCAAAATGGCATCCAAGACGGTTAAGATGGCCCCAAGATGCCTCCAGGACGGCCCAAGATGCACCCAAGACGGTCTCACATGGCCTCAAGATGGCCCAAGACAGTCCAAGATGCCCCCAGGAGGCCTCCAATATGGCCCAAGAGCCCCTCCAGGAAGGCCCGAAGAGGCTAAATTCATTGATTGTCCTTCGGGCTTTGAGCGACTTTGGCATTTGCGCCTGTTCGGCTTTCCGACGGCTCGAGACGGCCCGAGCGGCCCCCAAGGTCGCCCCAAGATCGCCCAAGAGGCCTCCAAGATGGCCCCATGACGACTCAAGAGGCCCTCAAGAAGGCCCCAAGAGGGCCCAGGCCCCAAGACGGCCCAAGAGGCCTTCAAGACGCCCCCAAGATGGCCTCGAAGACAGCCAAGACGGCCCAAGATGGCCTCCAAGATGGCCCAAGAGCCCTCCAAGACGTCCTCCAGGAAGGTCCGAAAGCTCGGAAACCACCTGGTCCGATGGTCGCCCGACTCCGTGTTCCCCGACAGCTTTCGAAACCCACTCGGGGAACGCGTGGCCCGATAGCTTGGCCAAGCTCAAACCCAACTTTCGGCCACGCAGGCGCTTCCAAAAAGGCAGGGGGGCGGCGGTGATTCGCCGTAGGCGTCTTCGATCCAAGAGGGGCCTGAAATCACCAGAGCGCCCCAAGAGGCCCCAGAGCGCCCCAAAAGAATTCCAAACAAGCCCTCCAGTACCGTACTATTTTTTCATGGAACACAGCCCCATCATGTATCATCACGCCTCAGCCGGTATAGCGAAAGGATTCGCACTGCCACTGCAAATTGCCCCTACACACGACAGCGCTAAGCAGGCCTGATGCCCGCGGTTCCTCATGAAGCGCGCCGCCGAGGATGTTTGCAACGGGAGCCTTTGGTATGACACTGTTGCAGGCTGTCTCGGGAGCCCTCATGGGGCCTGATAAAGCCTTTTACACCCTCTTGGTGCACTCTGGAGCCCCTCTTCAAGCCTCTCGGGGCTCTCAGAGATCCCGGAGAAAGCTCCAAGAAGCCTCCAAGAGAGTCCGGAGCGAGCTCCAAGAGGGTTCCCAGAAGGTCCCCAACGATATCATACCAAGGCACGGTGGCGGGATGGGCCGTGGGCCACCAGATCCGCCGCCCCCTGTCGATTCATCGCAGGGGTGCCTGGCGTGCCGAATCCTATCGGTTTTGGTTTGGGTTCTTTTCCCAAAAGAACTCCCCCTGGGGCTCCGGCCCTTCCCGCCGGCCACGCGGAAACTGCACAAGTAAATGCCTGTTCCGCCCCAAGATGGCCCAAGATGGTCCCAAGACGGCCAAGATGGCCCAGGACGGCCTCCAAGATGCCTCCAAGACAACCAAGATGGCCTCCAAGACGGCTAAAATGGCCCCAAGATGCATCCAAGACGGCCCAAGATGGCCTCAATATGGTCTAAGACGGCCCAAAAGGCCCGCAAGAGGCCTCCAAGACGGCCCAAGATGCCTCCAAGAGGTCCTCCGGGAAGGCCCGACGAGGTTTCCCATGCGTTTTTGAAGGATTGTGGCATTCGCTTCTTCTCGGCTTGCCGACGACCCAAGACGGCCCAAGAGGCCCCCAAGATCGCCCCCACAGCGCCCAAGAGGCCTCCAAAATGGCCTCAAGACTGCCCAAGAGGCCCCCAAGACGGCCCCAAGAGGGCACAAAGACGACCCAAGAGGCCTCCAAGACGCCCAAGATGGCCTCGAAGACAGTCCTGGAGCAACCGGCTTCCGACGGCGTCAGACGGGCCAGGAGCCCACCAAGATGGCCGAAGTTGGCTCGCAGCTGGCCCAAGACGGCCCAAGAGGCCCCAAGAGGGCCTCCAAGAAGGCCAGAAAAGCCCAAAAACACTAATGCCCCATAGGTTCGACATATTTTGACATTTGCTTCGTTTCGGCCTTCCGACGGCCCGATACGGCCCAAGAGCCCCCAAAGATCGCCCAACGATCGAGGCCTCCAAGGTGGCCCCAGAACGGCCCAAGAGGCCCCCAAGACGGCCCCAAGAGGCCCCCAAGACGGCCCAGGAGGCTTTTAAGACGCCCAAGATGGCCTCCTAGACGGCCCTGGAGCATTCCAAGAGGGCCCCAAGTCGGCCCAGAAAGGCCCCCCGAACGGCTTCCGACGGCGTCGGACGGGCCAGGGGCCCACCGACGGCCGAAGATGGCACTAAGATGGCCCAAGACGGCCCAAGAGGCCTCCAATGCCTCCAGGAAGGCCCGAAAAGGCCAAAATCATTGATTTCCCATGAGTTTTTGAAGGATTGTGGCATTTGCTCTTTTTCGGCCTTCCGACGGCCCGAGACGGCCCAAGTGCCCCCAAAGATTGCCCAAGAGGCCCAAGGCGGCCCCAAGAGGCCCCCAAGACGGCCGCAGAGACCTCCAAGACGCTCAAGATGGCCTCCAAGACGGCCCACGAGCCCTCCAAGACGTCCCCCAAGAAGGCCCGAAAGGGTCAAAATGGCCTCCAGGCGGCCAAAGTGACCTTCAAGATGGCCACGTGTTCCCCGAAGGCTTTCCAAACCGATTCGGGGAACACATAGTCCGATAGCTTAGCTGGTCTGGCCTCAACGTTCGGCCACATAGGCGCTTCCAAAAAGGCAGGGGGCGGCGGTGATTCGCCGTAGGCGTCTTCGTAATCCAAGAGGAGCCTGAAATCGCCCGAACGCCCCAAGAGAGCCCCCAGATGGCCCCCACAGAATTCTCCAAGAGACGAGCCGGCTCATGTCCAAGATGGTCAGGATGGTGCTGCACTGCGGCCAAGACGATCCAGGATGCCCTTCAAGACGGCAAAGAAGACCCCGACTGACCTAAGATGGCCCCAAGATGCCTCCAAGACGGTCCTGTCATCATCATCAGCATCATCATCATCATCATCATCATCAGCATCATCATCATCATCATCCTCATCCTCATCCTCATCCTCATCATCATCATCATCATCATCATCATCATCGTCATCATCATCATCATCATCATCAACAACACCGTCATCATCATCATCATTATCATCATCAACAACATCATCATCAGCAGCATCAGCATCATCAGCATCATCATCATCATCATCACCTTCATCAGCATCATCATTATCACCACCACCATCATCATCTGCAGCAGCATCAGCATAATCATCATCATAACCCTCATCATCTTCATCAGCGTCATCATTCTCATCATCATAATCAGAATCAGCATCATCATCATCATCGGCACCAGCATCATCATCAGCAGCAGCATCATCATCGGCACAGCATCATCATCAACAGCAGCATCATCAGCATCATCGTCATAATCCTCGTTATCATCATCAGCAGCAGCACATCATCATCATCATCATCGTCGTCATCATCATCATCATCATCAGCATCATCATCATCATCACCAGCATCATCACCATCATCACCATCAGCATCATCACCATCAGCATTACCACCACCATCACAATCACCATCACCATCACCATCGGCAACAGCATCAGCAGCAGGATTATCATCAGCATCACCATCAGCATCACCATCATCATCAGCAGCACCTGCAGCATCATCATCCATCATCACCATCATCAACTGCATCATCTCCATCATCAGCAACAGCATCATTACCATCATCATCATAATCAGCAGCAGCATCATCATCAGCAGCATCGCCATCGTCATCACTATCGCCATCACCACAATCACCACCATTATCAGTATCAGCATCACCACCAGAACTATCGCCGTCACCAAAACACCATCGCTCTCATCATAAGAAAAGCCATTATCATCAGCAACAGCAGCAACATATCCACATGCTCGTCGCTGCACCCCTTGTAAATCCCAATCCTCGTCCTGCGACTTCGCCTCCTCCTCCTCTTCCTTTACCGCCTCTTCATCCTCCTCCTACTTCTCCTCCTCCTTTTCCCCTTCTTCTCCCCCGTTCCGCAGCAGTGACAACTTCACTGCTTCCTCCTCGTCACCCACATTTTCTGGACGCAACTTAAGAAAATGAGTCCTGTCGAGCGTGTTCTCGCGCACTTTCGGTCCTATAGGGGGTGGAGGGGAAATAGACAGAGAAAGAGCAGGAGGAAGAAGAGGAATAGACACACGCCAAGAGCAAAGGGGGGAGCCAGTTGAGCAGGCGAAATAAATCCGTGGGGTGTGAAGGCTGAGATGAAATGACGTTGGTTTCAAGTTAGTTTCGACTCGTGCGATGTTCGACTATGCGGCCCGCAGGCCAGCATCAGTGCAACTGAATTCCTCGTCGGCGCGCTGGTCCTTTGGAAAGGTGCTGAAAAGCAACCACACTCCCTCTAAACTCCAGTCCACTCCTGCGTCCATCTCCCCTTCCACCTCTTTGTGCTCATTGTCCTTTCCTTCCTCCACATCTACTTGCGAGGAGTAGAGCGGATCACTGAGTTCCAGAACTTGTTCAGCACCCCAAGACATGTTAGCGGCAGAAACGTTAGGGATACCCCCACTCCCACCCCGCCAAAAAAGAAAACTGCAACCCAGATTCTGAAGAGCGCCTCGCACTCACTGGGGAAACGTGGTTCGTGTTGTTGCTGGTGTTGTTGTTGCTGTTGTTACTTATGCTGCTGGTGTTGTTGCTGGTGTTGTTGCTGGTGGCGGTGTTGTTGCTGGTGTTGTTGTTGGTGTAGGTACTGTTGTTAGTGGTGCTGTTGTTGCTGTTGGTGCTGTTGTTGGTGATGCTGTTGGTGGTGGCTGTGTTGTTGCTCTTGCTGCTGTGTGCAGCGCGCTCCCATCGCTTGTGCATGAGTCGCCTGTGGTTGCACGCAGATGTCAGCCGCTTGGCTCCACGCGCGCTGTCCCCACTGCGTTCGACGCGCCTCTTCCATGCACAAGACGGGACTTCCTACTCCAGATTTCGTAATAAAGGGAGGGGGGTCTCATTTCGGGGGGGGGTCTCTTCCAGGCTATTTTTTGGAGGGCCTGAGGGGGTCTGGGGACGATGTTTTGGAGGGTTCTCCCACGGGGGAGGTCTGAAATGGCTTGTCTTGGAGGGTCCAGACCCCCTCCCTTTTACTACGAAAGCTGGAGTAGTCTTACGCCGTTATCTAAACAACCCGGCGTCCATCCCCAACGCTGGGTGCAAGGAATCCCCCGGACCGGGCGCTGCCAGAAGTGGCCCCGGCCCCGGTGCCCCCAGGATTTCCGAGGAGGCCCCCCCCCGGCCCCCAGAGAGCCCCTCACGAGGCCCAGGGGGGCCCAGGGGCTCCACAAGGGAGCGACGAGCGGGGGGCACCGTGGGCCAGGGGCACCTGCGAACCCGACCCCTCCCCCTCCGACATCGTGGGGGGCAGGGGCATGGCTTCTGACAACCTACCAGACCACCCCAACCCAAGCCGAAGACCCGAATTTCGGGTTGGGGGGGGGGTACGGGTTCCATACGTGTTCTTGTCGATGTTCCCTGGCCCCCCCCCGCTGGAAATGGAAATGGAAGGCAAATTGGAGCCTTCGGGTTGGGTTGGGGTGGTTTGGTGGGTGGTGACCTCCCCCTCAGAAATCGGGGGGGGCAGGGGCATGGCTTCGCAATGTCCCTGGGCGCCCTTTTAGCAGCGCGCCCCCCCCCCCGGAGGCGCACGCCTCGGGGCCCAGCGGTCGCCTCCGGGGCCCGGGGCCAGGTCCAAGTCCAGCGCCGGGGGCTCCCCCCGCCGACACGAGGCGGCCCACACGCCGCGCCGCCCTGACACGCCCCGCGCGCCCCCGTCGCCACGCCGCGGGCAAAAAAAAATAAACCACGAGATCCGCAGCTGCGGCCGCGCGGGCCTCCCTTCCCCCTCCTCCTCCCTCTACCCTCCTCGCCTCCTCCTCCTCCTCCTCCTCCTCCTCCTCCTCCTCCTCCTCCTCCTCCTCCTCCTCCTCCAGGCCCCCCCAGGCCGCGAGGTCCCGCAGGCACGGGGCGCGCTTTCTCGGAGGCCCCTCGCGGAACGCATCCGCGCGGCCGCGTGCCCGCGGGGACGCGCACTGGGACGCAGAGCGCCAGGGCGCGGATACGGATGTGTTCGCCGCCGCTCGTGAGCCCCTCCCCCCTGGCCCCATCCAGGCCTTCTGCGGGGCCCCCAGAAGGCTCAGAAGACCCAAGAGAGGTGAGGAGGGGGAACAGGAGGAGGAGGAGGAGGAGGAGGAGGAGGCGGAGGAGGAGGAGGAGGAGGAGGGAGGGGGGGAAGAGGAGGAGGAGGAGGAGGAGGGAGGGGGAGGAGGAGGAGGAGGAGGAGGAGGAGGAGGAGGAGGAGGAGGAGGAGGGAAGGGGGAGGAGGAGGAGGAGGAGGAGGAGGAGGAGGAGGAGGAGAAGGAGGAAGCGGAGGAGGAGGAGGAGGAGGAGGAGGAGGGTCCCATCGCCAGCGGCGGAAGCAGTGTGCGTGCGTGTGCCCCGAGATCTCGGCGCCGCAGTGCTTCACAACAGCGTTTTCGCCTGGCTTCTGGCCCCGGGACCCTCATAGATCGCTCCGGCTCGAAAACTGCCGCAGAGAGAGATGGGGTCTGGGGCTCCAGTGGTGATTTTTTGCGGGGCGTGGCACTCTTCTGCTACGTCAGACCTGGGGGCGTTTGCGCGCTACTGGCCAGGCGCGCCTTCGCCTCCCACTGGGGGCCAAGGGTGCTTGCGTGGAGCCACCCGCCTGTCGGTCTCTGTATCAGTGCCTCGCCTCCTCCAGCGCCCTGTCACGCCCACGGCCTGCCTGCACCGCTCCTTGCCCTCCCGCGGCCCCCTCCCGGCTGGCACGGCTGCTGCCCTCCGCACGCCCGTTTCTCCCTTTCTCTCTTTCCTCCTCTTGTCGCCGTCCTTTCTCCCTTTCTCTCTTTCCTCCTCTTGTCGCCGTCCTTTGACCCCGCCTCGGCTGGTCGATGGACTCTGGCGAGCCTGAGGATCAGGCTCTGCGATTTCCACCGCCTGCCACCAGCGGCCTGCGCTGTACCGGCGCGGACGCCGCAACCTGTCTCGCGTGGCCTCTTCGGTGGGCGTTCGCCTTGTTTCGCGCTGCCAGTGCGGCCTGCACTCCCCTCTTGGTGTTGTGGCCGGGCACGGCTGACAAAGTCGCCGGCCTGGCCTTGACCTCTCGCGTTGTGGATGCCACGACAATGGACACCCCAACAGTCCCATCATCGAATTAAACATGTGTTTTTAAACGTCGGAACATGCCCTGAAAATGCTTCAGACCTGCTTTTTAACAGTTTTCTAACCGTTGTAACACATGTTCTAGACATCTGGAAATGACTTGGCAGCATGCTTCCTCTTCATGGATCGTCCTCCACAGCTCTCGCGCTTGCCCCCGTCCAGGTGCTCCCGCGGCTCCTGAGATCACTGGGCGCCGCATGTGCGGGGCTCCTCGGCGTGGGCCCCTGGGCCTGGCGCCCCAGTCGGCGCCCCGGCGCGCCCGCCGCCCTCTGGCGCGCGCTGCGGCCCCCTGCGCCCGCCCGCTGCAATATCCAGATCTGGGCTGCTCGGCGCTCGCTTTCAGGGCTGAACCAAAACGGCGCTTCTCGTTCTCGCTTTGCGTTCGTCGTCCCTCGCTTCTGTCTCCCGTCCGCCCCTGGCGCAAAGCGGAGTCGACAGGAGAACGACGGCCCACGAAATCCCCAAAAGCACCGTCGAGGTCCAGCCCTGCTCTCCCTTCCCCGGCTTGTCCGGCACGGTGCACCCCCGCTTTTGCTCCCACGCGCGCTCGCCCTGCGCAGCCTCCCCCTCGCCTCTGCTCGCGACTCGCCCTGCGCAGTCCACCCATCTGCCACATCGGGTGGGGATTGACTCTGAGCGTGCCCGTTGAGGACGTCTCGGCTACACGCAAGAGTGACCCTGGGTACGAGTGACCTTTGGTGCGCGGCTTTTGGGGGGCCGCGGGGGGGCCAAACACAAGCGCGCAAGACGCCACTGCCGCCTCGCGTTCGGAGATCGGGGGGCCCCCTTGGGCCCGCACCGAAAGGTCACTCCGGCGAAAGGTCACTCTCACGTCTGGTCGAACGTCTCGAGCGAAGCTGAGCCCAAAGCAGGCCAAACCAGGGCCAAACCAGGCAGATTCTGAGGACGTCTCAAGCGGGGCGCGGGGCGCGCAGCCAATCCGGGCCAAACCAGGAGCCAAACCACGGGCCAAGCAAAGCAGATCTTGAGGACGTCCCCAACAGAATCAGCGAAACGAGGCCCCGTCCACACCTTAGTAAAACTCCCATTGAAAGTGCATCACCCCAGCACCCCCCCTCCCGCAGGCGGATGCCCGTTTAGAACTGTATTAGGGAAACAAAGAATGACATAAACATAGAGACACGGAGGTCCGCGCGGATTTCTCGGATCGGCGCTGGACCCCCCTCCCTGGTGCGCGGAGCGCGCCAGGGGCGGCGCCGGAGGCGCCGCCGGGGGGCCCCAGCGCCGATCCGAGAAATCCGCGCGGACCTCCGAGTTTTTATGTTTATGCCACTTGTTGTTCCCCTGTTTATGGGAAGGGCGTTTGGACTGCGCGCCCGCTGATGCGCACGCGGTTGGGCGCATAAGCCTTCAGTCATCTTTCGGGTGCTGGTGCGGCCTCGGTGTGGCGTGAAGAGAGATACTTCCGATCCTGCAGAGCTCGACCATTCACACATGTTTCTTCGTCGCAGCGGCGAGGATCCACACCGCGCTCGAAGGCGGCCGAGGGATGCAGAGTGACCCACTTGGGCACAACAGGCCAACGGGGAGGACGGAGCGCGCGGAAGGGAAGAGCAGCACGCCCAGAACACGTCATCACACGGGCGCTTCCCACAGGCTGGGGGGCAACGGTGACTCGCCGCAAACGTCTTTGACCACAGCCCCCCCCCTCGTCGCGGAGGTACGCCGGCCAGGCCAGGGGCCAGGTGGGAGGAGGACCAGATCCGTCTCTGCAGGGCGTGCGGCACTGGAGCCGCCGAGCGGGAGCGGCACCCCGCGGCCCCAGCGGCTACAGGGAGAGCGAGAAGAAGAGCTCACAGCATCAGAGCACAAAGACCCCTGGACGAAGACAGCGATGCTCTGCTCAGCCTATTTGTCTGCCCCCCGCGCGCTGTCTCCACAGCCCCGCCAAGGGTTGGCCCCGCAGGGGTCGGCCCCGGGGGGTGAGTCGACTCGCGTGGGCGTGACTTCACGGGGGGGTCATCAACGGGGGGGTCAGAAACGGTCCCCTGTCGTGCCCCTGTCGGGCTCCTCCGGAGCCCCAGGGGGCTCGTTGAGGTACCGTTTGGGTATCTTTTCGGACCACCCTCGCCACCCCCAAATCTACGATCCCCCCATTACGCGACGCCCACATCGCCCAGGGGGACGGTTCCTCCGGGCCAGACGCCGGGAGCGTTGACAGGGGGAGGCGCCGGAGGCTGGAGGTCGGAACCATCCGACGAGCACGGCCTGGCCACGTCCGCCGCGGCCTTGGTCACGACATCATGCGGCAGCGCATGGAAGCCTCCCGTGCCATCTGGTGGGCTCTTACGAAGCGATGCTGTTCGACGCTATAACCGACGCTAAATCGATGCGAATCGACGCCCATCGACGCTCATCGACGCTAAACAGGCGCTCCCTCCTCGAAAACCAGACGCTAATCGACGCTAGCGCACTCCACAGACGGAATTGCGAGGGTATGCAAGGCTCCCGTGATCTGCTAACGACCTAACAGAGGCCTCGCAGTGCTGTTTGGGGCAGTCACGGCGCCCACTGAAAGCTCTGGACGAGGCGCAGCTGTTGGGGCCCGTCACGGTGCCGAGCCCCACGCCTTCCACTGTGGCCGCACGGGCAACTCAGAACCCGCCGACACCAGCTTACAAGGGGTAGGGATGCGGTTGAGAAGATCGGACGCTCCCCTCCCCGTTCCCCTTCCCAACAGGGCATCCTCCCTCAGAGAGGCGTGCCTGTTCGTAGTGAATATGCCGAGGGCGCCCGAGGCCGACAGGCCGACTCGTGACAGGGCGATCGGGAGAGGTCGCATCACCCCAGCTAGCCATTCCGTGCTCGATGGGTTCACCAGGAGCCAGAGCCGCTACCTTACCTTCCCCATAGGTCCCAAAACCCCCTTCGAGGAGTGGGGGGCCGAGCTACTCAAGGCCCTGCCCCGCCTCTCAGAGGCTCTCGAATGGCTCGCTGGGCCCTGGGGATGTTCAAGATGGCTCCAGATGGTCCCCCGACTACCCAAGATGGTCCAAGATAGACCACCTCCACGCAGGCCCCCGTGTGGCCCCGAGGGAACCCAAACAGGCGCATACAGCCCCATGGAAGGCACTCCGAAGGGGTGGGGGCGGGGGGAAACCTCAAGTGCTTGCAAATGTTTAGCTCTCCCCACGTTAAGGCCCGAGATGGCCCCGCGATGTGTCCGAGACCTTTCAGAGGTCCATGGGGCCCCGAAGACGCCCTAGGACAGCCCAAAAAGACACAGCAAATGCCCAAGATGGCCCCAGAGGCCTCTAAGCTGGCCTCCAAAATGGCCCTTGGATGACTTCAATACGCTCTCCAGGATCGCTGCAGAACGGCCCTCAGACGCCCCAAGCAGCCCTAAGATTCCCAAAAGGACGCTCAGCATGCCTCAGGGTGGCCCCGAAAACTCCCAGCTGGCATACTTGCTGGCCCCAATATGGTTCCGAGACAGCACAAGCTCGTCCCAGCGGTTCGTATATGGCATCGTCATGAAATGGTACTTCTGGGGGCACGCGGAATGTCGTAGCTTTGCCTCCGTAACAACCGATGAGTGGAATGGATTCGCTGCTGGACTGCATCAGTAGGAGCACACACGGCGAACGACAAGAGACCCTCTGAGCAGAACCAAAACCCTCAGAGAAGTGCATTACACGACGTCCAGAGCATCCACTTGCGCCAGAGTGCGTAAGCCCTGATGTTCGCGCATCTAGCCCGTGGGGCCCATGCTGAGGCACTAGGCTCCAGGGCCAGCAGGCACCAACCCCGGCACACGGAGCTCGGTCCCCCATGAATCTCGAGAAACCGTGGTGGGGGGGGGGGGGGGGGCAGGGCGGCTCACGGCACACCCGTGGATTGCATCATCGAGAGGACCTACACCACAAAAATCACTGCGACTGATCCTGGAGTCAAGCATGAGGCGATGGAGGATCGCCGCCTCTACCCTCGTGAGATCAAAAGTGCGCCACAGTCTCACGCCACCCGAGCATGACCAGTGGCCAGCCTCTCGGCGAGCCAAATAATCGCCACCTCATACACGCCACCACCAGTCTTCCCCGTCCGCTTCTTGGGGACGGCGGGTAGAAGGGAGAAGAAGAAGAAGAAGAAATTGTCATGAGGGAGATCCAGGCACCAAACGCCGCCCGCCATTCTCCCCCCTGGCGGCAGTCCAGCCGGGTATGTCGCGCAGGCCGCTGCAGGCTTCGAAGGCCGGGAGGCACTTCGCCTCGTTGCACGTCCTGGTCAGCGCTGGGCGACTGGGGTGGAGAGGGATCCCCCCGACGGCCGGAACTGGCTGCCGCCCCGGCGCCACCGCAGAACCTGGACGAAGAATCGGCCGCCTCACTCGCAGTGGGCAGCCACCTGCCAGGCGCCCAAGAATTGGTCACCCCCGTCAACGTCGCGAGGCAGGAGTGCACGAGGATCTCGCGCCTGTTGGGCACCATGCTCGACCGACGCCTTGGCCCCGTTTCGGAGGCACGCCTGGATGGCCGCAAATACTCCGACTGAGCTCCAAAGAAGCAGCGTGCAGGAGATCACGACCCTCGTCTCGTCACGGCGACACTGCGTACCTGCCCGCACGCTGTTTACAGGGCTCCTCCTCCTCCTCCTCCTCCTCCTCCTCCTCTCCTCCTCCTCCTATCCTCCTCCTCCTCCTCCTCCTCCTCCTCCTCCTCGCCTCCCTCCTCCCTCCCTCCTCCTCCTCCTCCTCCTCCTCCTCCTCCTCCTCCTCCTCTCCTCCTCCTCCTCCTCCCTCCTCCTCCTCCTCCTCCTCCTCCTCCTCCTCCTCCTCCTCCTCCTCCTCCTCCTCCTCCTCCCTCCACCAGGCCGAGCACTCGCCCCCTGAACTTTCCCAGACGCCGTCCCCACGAGCGCCTCGAACCGAGGCCAGCAGCGGCAGCGAGCCTTGCTCCTCGATGCGAGAAGAGCCAAACCCAGGCTGAAGGACGCGTGGCTGGCCTCGCGCTAGGAGGGTCGCTTCGGCACCGAAAGGGTCGTCCCCACGCCCTCGCTCGGTGCCCCAAGTTGCCCCTGCCGGGAGTGTTACCCCAGGGCCCGCTGCACTGGACGGCGCCACCCTGGCGAGGAACATCGAGGCAGAAGCATTGACTGTGGGCACGCCGCGTCCAGACTCGGCGTCCAGAGTCTCGAGCTCGGCTCGCGCTGCCACAGGAAAGCTCCCAGCGCGTTGCCCCCTCCTGCAACTCACCTGACATGGTGTAGGAATGCCAGACGAAGGCATGAACACCTTGGCCCGCAGATTAACTTGATGCAAATCCGCCGACCCTGTCGGCGTGTGTGCGAGGTTTTTCCGTTTGAGTCTTTTCCGTTTGAGCCGTCGTCGTCGTCGTCGCCGCTCCCCCTCAAGCGTTCCAACTAAAGGGAAATCGAGCAACGTCACCGTCGAGTCGAAGGGAAGCCACTTCCCTTTGATCCTTCCCCCACCGAGGGGTGCGGGGAAGTCCTGGAGGAGTTTCCCGCGAGATGTCCCAGGGGGCAGGGGGGTCCTGAGGTGGGTGGGGGGGAGGGGGGTCCCTGGGATTGTGACCCCCCACCCCTAGGAGGAAATCATTGCCGTCGTCGTCGTCGTCTTCCCCCTTCAGGGTCGGCGACACCCGCCGCAAGATCTTCATAATAATTGTTTTGGTCTGAGCGGTTCCCAACAGGAAGCTGCTGTAAACGGTGTCGAAGTTTGTCGCTTGCAACATTGCAGCGCGATTAGTTGTTACAGAATTGTTTATGTATGGCCATTGCACGGTGTACGTGTGCATCATATGAGCGAACGATGTGTCATGCGCTAGTTGAGCGCATGAATTACACAGATTATGCCTGCATGCTGCTATAACATATTCGCATATCAGTGTGGGGTATGAGTTGCGCGTGTGCATGTTGGTGCCGTGTGTTGCTGATGCACGCTGCGTCCAGGATTGCTGTAATCGGTGTAAACTGGCTGTGGGTGGTAAGTGTATGTCTGTGATGCATGGTGTTGGTTCGACGTATGGGTGTATATTCCTCATGTCTGTCGGCAGCGAGCGAACGAGGGGGAAATGAGAAGGAGGGTGCCTTCTCAAAAGGCGGCGGGACTTCTCAGAAGCTCTCGCGCCTTCTGAGAAGATTTGTGCGTCTTCGGGAAAGGCTTCGGAAACTTCTCAGAAGGCCGGGGGGGCTTCCGAGCCTTCTGAAAAGGCCCGCCCCTTCTCCTTTCCCCCTCCTCGCTCGCCGCCGAGTCCGCCCCTTCTCCTTCCCCCCACCCCCCGCTCGTCGCCGAGTCTGGAACTGAGATGGTGGTGAGGCGCGCGCTTTTGATATGTGCTATGGAAGCGCGCTCTCGATGCAGCCTGGACGCATGTCATCGATTCACGTGGATGGTATGCCTTCTGGTTGAGGAGTACTGACGTATGTTCGTACTGCCTGGTACTGGTGTATCGTGTTGGCGCATGGTGTTGATGCATGTCCCTGGCGTCTGCTATTGGAGTATGCTGATGAGGATGCTAAGCTGTTTGTATGTGTTAGTGGCGTGCGAGATTGATGCATAGTCATGATGTATGGTGCTGGTGGTTGTTTTGTTAGTGTATGTCCTCAAGGTGCGCTCATGATACCAAGCCTTAGCGTGTGGGCTTGGTGGGTGGCCGCTGTGTACGTCACTGGTATGTGCTGCTAATGAATAGCAGTGGTGTGAAACAGCACTGGTACATGTCACTGAACTGCGCGATTGGTGCGTGATGGTGTGTTCCTGGTGTACGATAGAACGCCAGTGCGGTCGCTTTACACAGAAGCACGGTGCGCATTCCTGACGTGCTTCCTTGATTCCAGTTCGTGGTGTCTTTTCTTGATGTCTGATCCTTCTGTATGGTGCTGACGCATGGCCGCTGTTTTGTGTGAACGCCTGGTGTTAATTGCATGCTTGGTGTATGGTACTGGTGTGTATATGTGACTGGCGCATGCCAGTGGTGTATGCCATTGTACTTGATGCTCTTCGTGTATGGTATCGACGAGCGCTATCAGTATGCACATTGTTGGTGACCAATACTGATCCATGCTGTTGACATCTGCACTCGGTGCATACACGTCCGTCGTGGCATTGACACGCGGTCTTGGTACATGTTGCCTACGTCTCATCTAGATGTCTGCTCCAGGCGTCTCTGGGCTGCGTGACGTCGCGACGCCTGGACGGCGCGACGCCGCGACGCCTCCCTGGTGGGGCTTGAGGAGGAGGAGGGGGGAGGAGGAAAAGGAGGAGGAGAAGGATGGGGGAGGAGGGAGAGGAGCAGGAGGTGGAGGAGGAGGGGGAGGAGGAGGAGGAGGAGAAGGAGGATTTTGCTTGGATTTTGCTTGCCGTTCAACTGTGCCACGAGCACGAGAGCACAGCCGTCGAAAATGAAACCACCCCTATTCCAGGCTTTCCCTGGGCGAGAGGGCCCCCCAAAACTTCGCAGCTGAACAATCAACCACTGCGATTCTGGCGCCGAGCACTGGCCGCGCTCCAGCACGGCGTGGGCGCTCCGCGCTCACCCGCCGCGGCAGCGCGCTCCGCGCGCCGCCGCGGTCTCCTCCGGCCCAGTCCCAGCGGGGGAGTGGACCGCAGCGACACTGTGAACCCCGGGGGGAGGAGAGAAGAGGAGAGGGAGAGGGGGGAGGAGGGAGGAGCCAGGAGAAAGGAGGAAGGAAGGGGCACCGTCCCACCGCGGCCAACCCCCCTTCCCCCGGGGGGGGGCGACCCCACCCGCCTCCGCCAGTCCTCCGGCTGGTCGCCGGCTCCACTTCTACCCCGCCGATACAGGCGGCACTGACCGCCCACCAGCTCCGATGGCGGGGGTGCCCCGGCTATGCCCGAGTCGATGACGGGGCCCCTGCTATCCAAGCAGGGGGGGCAGGAGGAGGAGGAGGATGAGGGGGAGGAGGGGGAGGAGGAGGAGGAGGAGGAGGAGAGGAGGAGGAGGAGGAGGGAGGAGGAGGAGGAGGAGGAGGAGGAGGAGGAGGAGGGGAGGGGGGAGGGGGAGGGGAGGAGGAGGAGGAGGAGGAGGAGGAGGAGGAGGAGGAGGACGCAAGACGCAGCCTAGGAAACGGAGTCATGCAGGCACGAAACCACCTCTGGGAGACAGGATGCCGCAGGGGCGTGCACCGCCGTCGAGACGGGATCCCCAGGGACCGCCGGGGGTTGTTGGAGCCCGGCGACCGCGGGCGTGCAGGGCGGGTGAGCCAGGATCGCCATGGTCCACTGCTGTGGATGCCACGAAAATGGACACCCTAACAGTCCTATCCTTGAATCTGAAATGTGTTCATGTGTATTTAAATATTCTAGGCATCCGGAAATTATTGGGCAACATGCTTCCTCTCCATTGATCGTCCTCCACAAGTCCACTGGTGACTTGCTGGGCCTAGCCGCCGCGGCATGTTGGGTGGGCGAAACGGGTCGGGAGCTCTGTTCTCAAAGACAAGACCAGCAGCCTCAATCTGTCCGGCTTGGAGGAAGGTTCCATGCGAGCGGCACGCTGCTCGGCTGTTTCTCCTTCCCCTTCGAGAACTGGAGCGTGACAGGACAGTATTGCATGTTTGACTTTGGCCCACTATTGCACTCGCATTGTTACCCTCATCGCCGTTGAACTAAGCGCCTCGCCATTACTCCTCCTTGAACAAGGATGTGGCTCACGTGACGCATTGCCTGGCACACTGGACTGATGTTCGCGATCTTTGGCTATTGGGTGCGATGGGACTCGCCATTTCCCAGGATGAATAGCCCCTGAAGATGGCATTCCTTCGGCTTCCTATAAGCGTCGGCTGAAACGTCCTGGTAAGTGCTAGATGGCGTCCAGACGAATAGACGGCGGATGAAGAGAAGGACATGGCACGAACCACGTGTCAACTCGCAGAAGGGGGCGAGAGGGGGAGGGTCGCCGGCGAGCCCGGGGGGGAAAGGAGAAGGGGCGGGCCTTCTCAGAAGGCTCGGAAGTTCCCCGGCCTTCTGAGAAGTTTTCGAAGCCTTCCCCGAAGACGCACAAATCTTCTCAGAAGGCGCGAGGGCTTCTGAGAAGTCCTGCCGCCTTCTGAGAAGGCACCCTCCTTCTCGTTTCCCCCCCTCGCTCGCGTCCGAGAGGGGCAGAGGGGAGGGAGGGCGGAAATGAAAGAAGAGAAAGAGGAGCAAAAGGGGGTGCGCCGCGCGCCTGCAGGCAGGATTGCGGTCCCCGCCGCGGCTGCAGGGCAGCCAACACCTGGCCACGGGGCCGCTGTGGCAGAGTAGAGGGAGCTCGTCCTCTCCCCCTCGCCAGCCCTTCCCCCTGTGGAGAACCCACTGGCCTGCAGATGGGGGTCAGTCACACACACACACACACACACACACCCACACACACCCCTATCTGTTGGGCTGGATTACAGCCCAATAAAGATGTCATTGTCCGCCCGAACACCTGCCCTGAGGTCGACCGACTCGACTCGTCTTGGATCCCAGCAAAGCGGACCCCTTCGACAGAACCGTTTCGAGCGGAGCTGGAACCGTCTCTGCATGTTGCAAGGGTCTCTCTCGAGGCGAACTTGCTTTTTGAACAAAGCCGAGCCGCCATGCATTAAGACGATGCCAGGACGAGGATAAAATCGGGTGAGGATAAATCGAGAATCTCTGGGATCCCGCGGATCTGGAAGATGTCTCGGGCGCCGCGGCCTTCTCAGAGCGTTCCGGAACGCTCTGGAGCGGATCTATCCTCGTCCGAACCCCGCCCGATGCACGATGCCATGCCGACAGGACCCGTTCGGGTCTGGCGCAAGCCGGGTCTGGGAGCGCCCCCGGATGCTCTGTCATGGTCGCCGCCCCTTCAGATGCCACAGGGAGGTGTTCCGACTGGGGCTACACGTCGGGGCATCTTTCGAACAGAAAGACTGCGCCAATGACAGTGCTATAGAATTCTCTCGGCCCAGTCGAATGCCATGACGCGCAAATTCACGACGCGAAAAATACGCCGCGCTGGCCATTTATTGCTAGCCGGGATGTCTCGTATCCCTGACCAGCCCGAACCAACTCACCAGCGGTATCCCATTTGCCCCCTTGCCCGAGCGGTCGCGGCTGTAGCCATCGTCGCTGTTACAGGAGAAATTTCTGCTGCCGCCGCCGTCGTCATTGTTGTCAGCCGCCGCGGCTGAATTTGTCGCCCGTTCTTGCTTCGGCGGCGAACCCATGGGGGGAGCGAGAGAGGGCAGGCTTTCTCGGAAGGCCGCGGGGCTTCTCAGACGCCCTCAAGCATTCTGGCAAAAAGTTCCCCGTGCTTTCGGAAAGGGCTCCGAAAACCTCCCAAAGGCCAGAGGGCTTCCGAGCCTTCTGAGAAGGCCCGCCCCCGCAGCCGTCCCTCAGCCCCCCACCCCCACCCCCGAAAACGAAGAAGACGACGACGAAGACGGCGAGCCTCTGACTTCCCCCCTGTGCCCTCCGCCGATTGCTGCTTGGAGCCTTGCAGCAGTGCAGCCCACCATCCGCCCGAAGCAGGCTGCGCAGTCCCCGCCGTAGCCGCGGCGCTCCGCCACGCAGCGCGCCACGCAGCGCTCGCGGCCGAGACACCTTTCGCGGAGGGAGCGGCAAATCAAAGGGGAGGGGGCTCCCCGGGAAGCGGCGAGGGAGCGCGAGGAAGCCCAAGGAAAAACGGGGGAGGAGAGAGAGGAGAGGAAGGGCAGGCACGGGGAGGAGGAAGAGGAGGAGGAGGAGGAGGAGAAGGAGGAGGAGGAGGAGGAGGAGGACGAGGACGAGGAGGCGGGGGGGGAAGAGGAAGAGGAGGAGGAGGAGGAGGAGAGAGAGTAGGAGGAGGAGGAGGAGGAGGAGGAGGAGGAGAAGAAGGAGGAGGAGGAGGAGGAGGGGGGAGGGAGGAGGAGGAGGAGGAGGAGGAGGAGGAGGAGGAGGAGGAGGAGGAGGAGGAGGAGGAGGAGAAGAAGGAGGAAGAGCAGGAGGAGGAGGAGAGGAGGAGGAGGAGGAGGAGGAGGAGGGGGAGGAGGAGGACGAGGAGGAGGAGGAGGAGGAGGAGGTGACGCGCGAAAGCACATCGAGTGATGTCCGATAGAATGGTGGCGGAGGAATCTTGTCCTGAAACACACGATAACCTCGGGCCAAAAGGGTGCCTACGGATAAGCACAACACCGACAATCCGCCCTGGGAGTTCAAGATCATAAGGATGATATACACTGCATGAACTCATTTACTCAGTCCGCCCCATTTTAGTGAGCTTGAAACTCCACTAAATCAAAACTGAAAAGGGGCACCCTCAGACTGAGGTGGCATCGGTAACTCTTGGCCTGCTGCCATCTAATCGCACAGTGCAGTCCGACCGGGTCGGTTCCACCGACGGGGTCTTGGATGGGAGGAAGGAAAGAGACGGAGACGACGACAACAGCGACAACGGACCAGCAGACTCGGCCGCCAGTTGCCTGACGGATGCAGTTCGAGAACGGCCCTTGGACGACGGGTCCTGCCGTCGGTTCTCCAAGGCCGTGCTCTCGGAGGTGATCTGCAGGAGACCTGAGCGCAACAGCTGCAGCTGCGCGGCGTTTGACTTGGAGAGGTCTGCCTTTGTCATCACGTCTACGGGCATCATGGGGTGCGGGGCCCATCGAACTACTCCCCCAACGCGTCCTAGAGAGCCCCTGCACACTGCGAGATCGATCGCAGCTCTTCTGTCGTTCTTACTGCCAGACGTCTCCTTATCTAACGTGTCGAAGATGCCCTTGGCATCCACCACGCTGATATTTCCCTCGGGGGTCAGGTCCAGGGTACAGCTCCTGCGAAGCACTGAGGCAAAGGGGCCTATGTGGGATCTCCAGGAATCGTCCAGGAGGTTGCCCTGGAGAACGTCATAGAACAACATCTGAAGCCACTCGGCCTCCGCGAGGGCTGCGCTCAGAGACTGAACCTCCCCGGCGAGCGTCGAAGGGACCTGACGTTTCACTCGACACGAGCGCCATGCCAACGGGGTGACTCGGGCCCGGGACCCGCGGGACAAAGCAGCATCAGCTGCATACACTTGCCACGCCTTTGTCCCCGCTGTTCGCCGCGACTCCGCCGCAGTCGGAAGCCGTAGCGAACAGCATAGAACGAATGCTGAAACGCCGGACTATGATAGGCACATTGGCAGTCTGTCGAAGGTGGTCAACCATGTTATTCAACACCACGGCGTCCCCGACGGTAGGATGCGTGACCTTACTCGCGAGCAATGAGGCAGTCCCCGACGCCTCCGCTCGCGTCTCCCGGCCGACCCAGTTGAGACGGTACACCATGGATCTGAAATCCGAGATCTCACGGCCGACGAGTGGCTCATCGTGGTTGGATCGGCGGGCTCGGGGGAGGGGAAGACGGTGAATCTGCTCCAGGATATACTTTTCCTGATCCACAAGAATCCTATCTGGAAGCCTCCTCAACCTACGACCTATGTAATCCACCCCCGAGGCGTCGAGCCTCACCATTTTGCCAAAGTCGAAGCGCTCTCTGTAGCTTTTCAGCTCTTCGGCCTGGACGGAGGGGGCGTGGGCCATGCACCAGTCGTCCACCTCAATGAGAACCATGGACTCGGGACCCCGGGGGCCTCTTTTCGTCATCCAGCATGGCTCCAGCTTAGATTTGACATACCCCCTTGACTCGAAAACCGACACCGTGGTGCGATGAAGAGCGAGTGGGGCGTCATCCAGCCCATACACAGGAGCGATGAGCTCAATTAATGACCCGGGGGAAAGGGATAGTCCCTCGCACGGCTCCACGAAGACTCTCCCACGGGGACGAACCAGGGGGTCGCTCTGACAGAAAGCATTCTTAAGATCTCCGATCTGGATATCCATATCGAGTGCCAGAGACATCGTCAAGAACAACATGAGGCTCTCCATCTGAGGAGTGGGTGAGTACACCCGGAGCTCCCCGGTGCCCTCGTCTTCGTGACCCCGAACGCACCACCGACTGTTGGCCTTAGGCCGCGAGAAAGTCCCCTCCTGCGGCTTCCACCTCCTCACCATGCGGCTGGACACGACTCGATTCGGATACCTCTCTCGGAGCCTTCGACCCTCCTCGGGGGGAAACACCCGCACCGCTTGGGTGTCCATGATGGCTTTCCATTCCTTGGCGTCGGCCTCGTCGAACTCGGCCGCTTCCTCTGGACTCAGACGCTTCTTCGAAACTTCCGAGCCCCGCGAAGCAGCCAGGGTCAACGTCCCGGCCTCGGACCCTTCCCCCGGGACCAGCTCCGCGTCGGCGTTTCCGTTTCCGAGCTCCACCCAAGATCCGCCCCAGCCCCTCTCGGTCATGCCCTCCTGAAGGGACAGAAAATACTGACCGAGATGTTCTTCCGAAAGAGACATGAGAACCACATCCATCATGGCGTCGGGCCTCTCTTCGGAACCCACCTGGCCTCGTCCCGGAGACCTGGATCTGTTCCTTTCCGGGTCCGAAGCGGAAGGAGCCGCTGAACCGAGCCTGTCCCAGTCGGCGATCATGCGACCGACCCGTCCATCCGAACTTCCGCTCGGATCCACTGCTGGCTGGGGAAGGTTACCTAAACGAGCCCGGTGACGTCGGGTCTGTTCTTCTCGCATCTGTTGAGAGGCCGCGTCCCTGTCACCCTGTGGACGCCTTCTCATCTCCCCGAAGTCTAACAGACGAGCTCCACGGATAGCCCCCTGTCTCTGCAACTCAATGTCGCCCTCGGAGGGCCCGGGAGGCGGACCGACCGCGCTCGGAGCAACCGACCCGGAGGGAGCCACGGAGGGGGCGGGCGATGGCCTGGACGGGGGCATCCCAGACCGAGTCGACTCTCCGACTGACACCTGCCTCTCGGGCAGGAACGGTTCCTCGTCGCGAGGCGCACCGGTCTCTCTGGCGCCTGCTGGAGCTCCTTCCGCTCTCTGAGGAACTTCGTCGCGTCCTGCGTCGCCGAGGGATCCCGGCGACTCGGGAGGAAGCATGGAGGGAAGAAGAGCTGAGGTGGACCCGTCCGCGGGGGGAACACGCTCTTCCCATGCCTCCGCCGGAGGTGGACCTTCCCTCGCGACGTTAACCCCTCCTTGGTGCGCGCCGGACTGCACCCCTCGAATCATGGAGGCCACGGCTGGATCCTGCAAAATCTCCGCCCCCCTGGCCTCGGGCCCGGCGGCGGGTCTCAGCTGCTCGCTGGCGCACTTCCATAATCGAGACCTCATCGACACCCAGACACTGTTATTGTGCTGGAAAACCACGACCCCGGGGCCGGTCCACCTATCGCGTTGCAGCGCGTAGGTCTTGCGCTGGGCCCTCGGGGCCCTGCGCCACGCGTAAACCCAGCCCCCGGGACTATAGCTGGTGTCGCGATGTCTCGGTGCCTTGGCGGCGGCCTTCACTCGGGCCTGGCTTCCCTTCTGGAACAACTGGGCCCTAGCAAAACGTCGGATGCTCATGGTTTTGGCGAAGTCCGCAGCCGCGGCATCTTGGTCCCACGCCGTCTCGTCGAGATCCTGCTGGCCAACTAAACCGAGAGGGTCATCAGACATCAATTCGCGTGGAACACGTGGATTGCGTCCGAATGCAAGTTGATTCGGAGAGAACCCCCCTCCGGTGTATGTAGTTGTTCTTCGAGGCCACTACCTCGTACGCCAGGATCTCGAGCTCTTTCTCCGTGGCGACGACGTCTGTTCCGATCCCTTGTCCAGAAGGTCCTCGACCCAACCCCAGTGTCTCTCCGCGCGGCCGTTTCCCCAAGGGGCCTCCGCATTCACCGCGTGTTAAAACACGCCCTGTTGCTCCAGTCCCCTGAGGAACTCGGCCTGAAACTCGGCTCCGCCGTCCGAAAGCACCAACTCCGGGGGGCCGAAATATCGGATCCACGACCCCACGAACGCCTCCCACGCACTCCGGGCCGTTGGGGTCCCATATCCGCTGCACCTGGCTACCACTTGGTAGTTCGTCCCGTGGCACACCGCGTTCAAAAAAGGAATGGAACGGCCCTCGAAAGAAACGTAAAACACGTCTATCCCCACAACGCGATTGAATTGAAACGCGTGAGGCATGGCCGCTCTTCGTCTCTGCTCGGCCTTGGGGTGGGCGTCGCAGTCTGGGCATGAGAAACACGCCTTCACGCATTCGAGAACCTCGGGACGAACGCGAGCCCCCCTAAGAACACGGACGAAGAAGGGAAGGCGGGGGTGTCCCAGATTGACGTGAACCTTATACAGCAGATCTTTGACACGAGCGTCGATGGCGAGAGGAGGTTGCGCCTCGTCGGGCTCATCCTCTTCTCCCCCTTCGTCGCCCTCTGGGATCGGGTCGAGGTCTCCGGAGACCATGTCCGCGTCTTGCTCTTCAGGATCCAGATCGATATCGTCTTCTCTCGCGGGCGAGGTCGCTCCTTCCGACGCTCCTACCGGGAAAGAATTGACCTGATCAATCAGTCCCCAGAACGACTCGGGATGGGCTGACTTGCGCGCCATGGAAGACACGATCTTAGCGACGGTCTCGGCCATGTGCCTGCAGAAGGCCTCGGGGCACACCTGAGATTTTCGAGTCATCGCCCGACCTTCCAGAACGAAGTGCTCGTGGACCCCGGAGCACTGATATTTCTTGAACATCTCGATCACTATGGGGTCGTTTGTCAACAGTCTAGTTCGCTTCCTGGACAACTTGCCCCCGGGGTCCACCGCGAGACCAAACAGCACATGTCGAACGAAACCGCCTGGACGCCCGGAAGCACCGCCAACCGGACCACTCTGGGGCCCTCCCAGGACGAAGCCGTGTCAGGGTGCTCCAGCACGAAGGAGCGCCCTCCGCGGTACTGGATGAGAGCCAGGTCGACCGCGTGATGAAGGTGAGCGAGGCCCTCCGAGATCAGGGCCTCGCGGTACTTCGGATCCATGGACCCCTTGCTGACCCTAAACATGGCGCTGTGCGTCTGGCACGGGGGCTCCATCATGGCCACTGCTGGCTTCTCTTTTCCCAAGCGCTGCCTAGCCGCAAATCTGACCCCCCCTTCTCTGAAGTCCCATCCGGTCTCCAAATCCCAGCTCACAAGACATCCCATCCTGCGCTTCTGGACCTCGGGACCGATCCGGGGAGGAGAATACACCTCCACGAAGGCCCTGTCGGCCCACTGCCGTCTCCTAGAGGCCTCGAGTCTCTCGGACTTCGGGGTCTGACTGCGGATAGCCGCTAGGCAGGCCGGGGAGCGGGTGGACGCTCCCTGAGGTCGGTCTTCGGAGGGTCCCTGAACTTCTCGCTCCAGATGGGGAAGCTGTCCGTCTCGTGGAAGCTGCACCCCTCCTGGAAGCTGTCCCCCTGGTGGAAGCTGCGCCGCTCCTGGAAGCCGTCCGTCTGGTGGAAGCTGTTCCGCCCCGGGAAGCTGTCCTTCACCGTTGGAGGGTCCTGCCGAGAAGCGCAGGGCCTTCTCGCACGCGTTCTTTTCCCTTCTGGAGGCGGTCGCCTCGAAATCGTCGTGAAACTCGCCTGAGAGCAGCAGATCCCGCCAAACAGGCAGGGACATCGCCACCAAACGCTCTGCCTGGTCGTCTGGAGAAGCGCTCCCCTCCTTCGTCCACGCCCCACCTGGTCTTCTAATCAGGTTCATCCTCCCGTCCTCCCCAAGATAGTGGGGCGCTTCTTCCTGGAAGAAGAAAGTCTCGTGCGCTCGCCATCCGGCGTCGCTCAGGATCCGATCGAGGCTCTCCGCCTCGGGCAGCTCACTCAGGCCGTACAAGCACCTGCCGTCCTTCAGGGACTGCTTGGTCCGCTGCCGGCACTGCCGGCGGTCGGAGGTGACTCGATCGTCTCCCACCCGGCTGGGAACACCGCCTGGGCCGGCACCTGCGGCGGCGACATCTTCGGCTGGCCCTCGATCGCCATCTGCCTCTCCATCATGGCCTGCTTCTCCTGGATGCCAAGCTGTGCCGCCTGGATGTTCTGAATGGCTTTTCCCTGCTCCACCACCAGGGCGAGCAGGCCGTGATTCTGGTTGGTCATCTCCTCTTTCATGCTCTTGATTTCGTTGACCAGCGACGCGCGAGGTGCGTGCTGGCGAGGACGTGCTGGACCTGTGCCGTCCACCTCCATGGGCGCCTCCAAAGCCCGATACTGCACCATCTCTTCGGAGCGCTTCTTCACCCTCATCGGCTCCTCCGAGCCCTGGGCCGGCTCCCGGTCGCTCGTCGTCGTCATGAGAGCGACCCTCGTGCACTCCACCGAATTCCTCACCGACGCTCTGCCCCCGGGGGGTTTGGTGAGGTCGCTCACGTTCAGCACCGTCGAGCCGCTCTGTGGCGACTTGCCCTTCCCCTTGTAGATGACGGACGCCTTCTTGAAGTACGAGACCCTCATGTCGCAGTCCCCGCAGACTTCCCAACTGCCGTTTGCCGAAACTGATGAGACTGGCCCAGGAATGACTGCACTTCATCTGGCGCTCCGTGTAGAACCTGTCCGCCCTCTTGGTTTTGAGTGGCCACTGGTGGCCGTTCTGGAACATGTGCAGCAGCTTCAGCCCCTTGTGCTGGTGATCGGCCACGATCCTGGAGCTGAGGTACGCCCAGAACTTGTCTCCCACCGACAATCCGCTCGGATACTCGTTTCCGGTCAGCAAGTACTTGACGCACTGCGGCTCGCCACTGTCGCTCGCCGTGGAGCCCGTCATGGCCTGCAGAAACGTTTTCTCGGCTCGATTCCAGTACGTCACCATGGCATCTGCAGCCCGTGTGAGAGAAAGCGTCTCGAAACGTCCTCCTCAAACCGCTCGGCCCAGAAATGGCCACATGCGTCGGATCACGACGTCGACGACGGGACGAAAAAAGAGTAGGAGGAACCGTCTCCCAAGACATCCGCAGAAAAGCCTCTGAGTTTCCCAAGACGCCTCGTGGGCCTCCAGAACCGTAAAGGGGGGAAAAGAGGTGCTCACCTGCGCTTGGAGGTCCTCCTTGATGCTTCTGGGTGCCGTTGCTGATCACTTTCGGGAGCGAGGCCGGGTCTTTCTCGAGACGACTCCGGTCGGCCCTGGGTCCCCGAGTCGGCTGCTCCGAGGACGACATCGACGACACGAGGGAGGACGACCGAACGGGAAGAGGAAGCACGTAGCTCTCGCTCGAGCTCAAGCGAAAGTCAGACGCCTGCAGTCCAAAACGCTCCTGGACAGCCTCCGGGAGCTCAAAATCTTCTGGGCTGCCGAGCCTATCGATCGCGATCGTGCGATGACCGCTCGACAGCCGCTTCAAGCTGGTGGTCACCCCTAGCGCCCTCAGAGTCATCTCGGCCTTCGGGAAATCGATCACCGCCTTCATCTGCTCCTGCATACCGATCGGCATCAGGGCCGGCACGTCTTGCTCGATCAGATCCAGCTCCATGATGCCTGTCTTGCCCTCGATGCCCGTGGGGACCAAGAGTCCTGACTGCACCGGCGTCTTCCCGCCGACGCCTCTCGCGAACTGGTGCTTGCTCTTGACCCGAACCACTCGGAAGCCCAGCTCGCCCAGACGCTTCTCCAGCCTCTGCAGTGCCTGAGGCCCGATCAGCGCCTGGCCCGCCGCCGTGTCCACTACGATGTCCCCTGAGCCGGTGACCAGCAGGCTCATGGCCTCGACCTTCTCGGACCTGATGCGGTCCACGACCTGGTGAATCAACCCGCGCGCGTTGATCGAGTTGACGTTCTCCGAGGCCAGGATCGCGTAGCTCGGCTCCGATTCGTTGAGTAGCACGACCTCCCTACGGGGAAAGAAACGTGCGAAAAGTGTCGAAATGGGCCCAGCACGGCCATACAGGCACTTGGGCCTTAGGTGGAGCCCCCTATGGGGCACGAAACGTGTGAGAAGTGTACCGACATGGAGACGGCGCTGCCACACTGGCGTCCTCACTTGGGCCGTAGGTGGTGCTCCCAATGGGGGCGCGAAACGCGCGAGAGGTGTGCCGAAATGGACGAGGCGGAAACAGGCAGGCGCCCTCAAGAGGGGCCGTAGGAGGAGCTAACTGTGGAGACACGAAACGTGTGAGGAGTGTGCCCAAATGAGGGTTGGGAACAAGATGGCGTGCATCGAGCGAGGGCGCGCGGAGACGAGGACCTGACCATACATGAGGGTTGGGAACAGAAGAAGGATGAGGAATAGGAGGAGGTGGATGTGGATAGGAATAGGAGGAATAGAGGAATAGGAATAGGAGGGATAGAGGAATAGGATATAGGATATAGGAGGGGATAGGAATAGGAAGAAAAGGAACAAAAGAAGGATGAGGAATAGGATATAGGAGGGGATAGGAATAGGAGGAAAAGAGGGCGAGGTGATGAGGAGGATGTGGGGCGTGGCGCTGCCAATTCAAGGCAAGGACCCAACAACCAGGAGGGTTGGGAACTGATGTGTAAACACCACCTGGGATCCGATTGTGCTCGAAGGGTGTTGGCATGTGCGCACGTGTGGCCCTGACCTGATACGCACTCCTTGCAAATGCACGTGCAGTATCAACGCGAGTACTCCGCACAGCATCATTCGATAGGGATGAAGAAGGGTCGACACGTGGACTGGCTGGGACGGTTTGAGGTCACATCTAAGATGAACAATCGCGCAGAATTGATATGAACATCCAGAAAGGTGAACGGGGGGGCCTCAAGTCCGTCCTCGGTTGGGGGGGGGACTTGATCTGATTTCCGTTCGGAAATAGAAAACTGCAGATCGCAAGATACGGACTGCGCGGCGGAGATGTCAGACATCTCCAGGGCAATAAAAAGGTCAGCACGCGACAAGCCATATATACGTATACAGAGACGATATCCTCAAAGCGGCTTCTGGCGTCACCGTTGGCATCAATCGGACACCAGTATCCTTGACCTCTGGAGCACCCTGGTTTCTATAAACGATGCTCGTGTCACGGCGCTGCCACTAGTCCAGAGCTGTGCCCCAGGCATCGGAGAATCACGCTTCGCTACCGCTTCCAGCTTGAACTCAGACAAGCCAGATACAGCAGCTACCCATCCTCAAGCCATCGCAACGACTGGCCCATCGCTGGGATCCACTGCGCTGGGTTGGAATGGCCGACCATAGGAGAACATTCTGCGACAAAGGGGCAGCGGCAGCTGTAGCAGCAGCAGCGACAGCAGGAGCAGCGGCAGGTCGAGCGCGGCGCAGAGACGGGCACGGGTGCAGAGATGACCGCCTGTTGCCGCAGATATCGACATCGTCGAGGAAAGTATCTCTCCCGGCGGACCTCCACACGCGGGCGTCCCCACCGCGCGAGCACGCGTCCTCTGCAGCGGGGCCATGCGAAAGAGAAAGAAAGAGAGAAGCGGAGGAGTGGACGGAAGGAAGGACACTAGCCACCAGGGAGGGCTCCGAGGAGGCCAGACGGCACGCCAGGTACACTTCCGAGAAGGCCTTTTGCGCCAGCTCTGGGGCGCATCTGGATATTTGCAGCGTCGCCTGGCCTCCAACACCTCCTGTCGAGCTTAGTGCAAGTCTCCAGAAGAATAAGGGCATGGGGGAGGCCAGAGAGGAGGGGAGGGCGGAGTGGAGGGACGGGGAATGAGCAGAGGAGGAGAGGTAAGGCGGTGGGGGGTACAGGGGGGGGGGCAGGGGAAGGGGGAGGGGGGCGGGCGGACAGGGGAGGAGGCGGGAGAACGGGGGAGGGCAAAAAGAACGAGCTGGGGAGCGGACAGTCGGAACCAGACCCGTGCGAGCCCAACACTGAACCTGCCCTTTAGACCGCCACGTGACCGGCCGGCTCTTCTGAGTCGGGGAAGTCCCCGGCTGCCGAGGATCTGGTTCGCGGCTGGCTGGCCACCCCTCTTCTGCCCTGTCCCCCCCCCCCGGAGGAGCCCAGTGCAGCGCCTCCACCCACACCTGCCACCCCGCCCTGCCCTGCCTAGCGCCCGCTCCCTGGCCCCAACCCACCACGCCTCGACTCGCCCCGCCTCGCCCCACCACAGAGGCGTGCACCGCACACGCCGAGGTGACGCGCGGACGAGGAGAAGGCGGAGATGGGGCGGGCGAGGGACTGGGGCCGAGAGGGACGCGGCCAGTGAGAGGCCAGCGAGTGGCTTCCAATCCAAGACCTCGCACCGCTCCCCGCCCCCCTGTCGCCTATGGACTCTATGCTCGATCCCACGGGACGCACCTCTCAGCACGGCATGGTCAAAAGACGGCGCACGGCTCCGCTGGAGCACATGCTCCAAGGGGCGCATTCTTGCCTCGGCCGTGGCGACGGACTGCTTGAGGCAACTCAGGATCGGCAACATTTCTTTTCCTCGGCAACGGGAAAAAACAGCAACGCTGGGCCCCTTAACCGCGACCCAGGGGCGCACTGCTCCCCAAACGCCTGGCGATGGCCGAGCGTCTCATGCACACCTGTGGTACCAGTGAATCCTCTACTTACAAGTTCTGCTGAAAGGCGCTGCCTGCTTGAGTTACCTGCAACATATCACGCGGCAGCTTGCCGCCATGCACAGCGTGCCCGAGCAGCCGAGCACGAGGAGCACAAACAGGACGCTGAACACCCACTTCGCCATCGCGTCCTCCATCAGCGGAGCCAGCGCGTTGCACAGCTTGACCACCCCCTCGTCGTGAAGCACCTCCGCCACGGCATGACAACCCACAGCCGTGTCGCGTTCCATGCAGTCCATCAGCTCCTTTAGGCACTGGGTGCCCTCCTGGGTCTTGTTGTTCCAGAGCTGGAAATGCTCCAGCCGCCTGGCCAGCGAGAGCAGACGGCCGCGCGAGGCCTCGTCCAGCGTCACGTGCCTGCCGAGCAAGAAGGACCGGAATACTGCCCCGTAGTCGTCCAACTCCTTGGCGCTCCCCACAGCACGCAAGAACTCGGTGCTGTTGCCCAGCTCCGCGCAGATGGCCTCGTCCTCCACCACCGCGAGGGCCGACTCCACGAGCCTGCCGACGCAGGGAGTCTGCCGGAGCCGCCGCCACTTGCGGGAGAACGAGATGAGCTGCTTCTGCTGCGACGAGTTCAGCCGGGGGACTTTCTCCAGCCACCAGTCTGGCTGGCACACGTCCTCGACACGAAGCCCGCCCACCTACCAGACCACCCCCACCGAACCCGAAGACCCGAACTTGACCCGAACTTCGGTTTGGGGGGGTACAGGTTCCATGTGTTTTTTCAAACGTTCACCGACCCCCCCCCCCCACTGGAAATGGAGGGCCAACTGAGGCCTTCGGATTGAGTTGGGGTGGTTCGGCGATGGACAAACCTCCCTTTAGTAAACCTCCCCTTAGTGAAAACGGCCTGGGACCGAAACCGACGGACCTGGACCCGCAAAAATGACGGCCGCGACGCCCTCTCGCGAGCCGAAAACGGCCAAATCCTTAATCGACGTGTCAGGGTAGGAGGTCCATCCACCTCCGAGTGGTTTGGTGGGTGGTGACGTCCTCCCCTCGCCGCTCCTCGTGGTCGTCCGGGGGGCCTGCCTGGGCCTGGTGCCCGCTCGCCCTCGGAGCCCTCGCGGCCTCCGCCTGCCCGCCGCCCTCCGCGCGCGGGCCCCCCTCCTCGGCCGCGCGGCCCCCCCCGCTGCAGGGCACCCCTTGTTCCCGCAGGTGGGCCGCCAGGTCGAGAGAGGAAGAGGAGGAGGAGGAGGAGGTGGAGGAGGAGGAGGAGGAGGTGGAGGAGGAGGAGGTGGAGCGTGCCCAGAGGAGTCCGTCCGCACTACTTGCTAGAACAACTGCTGCTGCAACTGCTACTGCTACTGCTGCCACTGCTGCTGCTGCCGCGCACGAAGTACAATGGCGGCCGCAGCGAGGGCAGCGGCGGGCCGCGGCGACATCCGCGGGCCTCGACGACAGCGGCGGCCAGGGCGCGCCTGCTGAGAAGTGAACGCTGCCGACGCCCAGCTGGGAGCCGCACAGCAAGACGAGTGGCGCCTACCAGACGCCTCGCCTCTTCGAGGGTGATCGGGCGACGGAGGGAAGAGGCGAGGCGAGAGGAGAGGCGGAAAAAGTGGTACAAAGTGATAACAAAGGCTAGCTGGCCACCACGGAGGCCAAGAAGAAAGAGAGGATGAGCAGGAAGGGGAGAGCGGAGACAGATCGACGCCCAATAAAGCAAACGGGGCAGGAAAGATAATGGCCAAGAGTATCGGGACAGGACTGGCATCCCAATACGCAACAGGCCTCGCGCCGCATCCTTCCGCCCGTCAGCCACCCCCCACCCATTAGAGCGCGCAGGGCTACAAATGACCACGCAGGAGGGGCCTGGGTCAGAGCTCCCTGGAACGCCTGCCAGTCGGCGGGGGGGAAACGCATGAGAACTCGCGCCACCTTGGCCTTCTCCTCGGCTCATCAGGGACAGGGGGGGGGATCCCGAAACAGCGCCAAGGCCTCCGCGCCCCCTGCGCGCAGGACCGCAGAGCTCGGGAAACCTTGCGCAGCTTCCGCAAGCGAGCCCGCGATCGCAGGGGCCTTCCAAAAAGGAGGCGCCAGCATGGATCCATCCCACTACCCAAATCCCCCTTCCTCCCTCATGACTGCCCGAAGCCGAGCGATATTCGTCTGCCAGGTGCTGCAAGTGAGAAGGGCTGAACGCATCAAGGTCCCCGCACTCAGAGCGAGTACGCTGACAGGCTGGGGGCATCCAAAATTTCTGAGCTGAAACCAATCACTTCGACGGAACATAGAGAAAGACACGCGAAAGATTCTAGCCAGCATGCGCCCCTCAACCTGGGACTCCGTCCACGAGAGAGGATAGAGCTGCATCTTATATCTCAGCACCGTCTGGATCCGAGACTGGCGCAAGTCAAGAGAGGTCGCATGCGGGGCACCGCGGGCGCCCAACGAGGAGCACATGTCCAGGGCCTTCCCTATGGGGGCCTCCCAAGCATCCGAGGGGACAGCAGCAGGACCTATGAGGCACCCGAGGTACACCGTTTTGCCATCGATCTTAAACGCGGTCCAAGACGGGCAGGCCACAGCAAGGAGTTCCTTCAACCGCTTCTGGGCTTCTGGCGATAACTCAGCCCAGAGCGGGATGGCAACACATTTCCGAGACTTCAGGACAGGCGCTCCAAGCCTGTCAGCGAGACTGAAGATTCTGCCAAGGTGCCTCCACCCATCACGATGTCAGACAACAACTCCGACGTCATCCGCACACGCACGGACAAGCCCGCGATTGACACGGGCCAGGGAGATTTCCATATCCCGAATGAAAGGATAATCCGCAAACAGAAAAAGCGAGCCCGAGAGCGGACACCCCTGGAGGACGCCAGACAGCATCCAGAAGAGGAAAACTGGCTGGTCCCCCCGGGCAGAGTAACACGGTTTTAAATGATAAAACACTGAAACCGCCTTCTTAGACCCGCGAGGGATCGGGGCCAAGAACACATTCAGGATCACTCCTGCCGCACAGAGGGGAAGGCCTGGGATAAATCAAAGGCGAGGAGGGAGGGGGCATGAGTGGGATCCCCGCAGTGTCTGACACTGGTGATCCTCGCCATCGTGTCCAAATCCACGATACTATCGAGAAAGTTCCGCCGCGGCACGAACCCGCGTTGAGAGGGGGGCAGTGAGGGCTTGCATTGCCCGAGTCAGACTCCGATTCAGCACAGCAGCAATGGTCTGGTTAGAACTGTTGTTCAGGCCGAAAAGCCGCGCGTCGCTCGTAGCACGCTCAAGCCCGTCCTTTGGCGGGTCGTCTCCAGGCAACGGCTCCGGAATGAAGACCTGGAGCGAGGCACAAAATTCAGGCGGCATCAAACGGCCAGCCAACACCCAGAGCAAAACCTGGCGCAGGATTTTCGGGCCCGCCCCATGGCGCCAGGAGGAGGAGGGAAGCCCGTCGGGGCCAGGGGCCGAGGAGGAGGCACGAGCAAGGCATCCAGAGACCGAGCCCAGGGAAGGAGGAGGAAGGCCCCGAAAGTCACGACAAGAGTTACAAATCTTCTGGGCATACCTCGACGCGTTAGGCGGCATCGAGGTCTCACGACCGAAAATGGGGGCCCAGTGATTATTCAGAGCCTGAGCCACCCCCTCGGGAGACGAGGTCGCCGCAGCGGCGCCAGAGAGAAGGTCAGTTGGAAGAACCCCCGCCAAGAGCTTTCTTCCCCCAAAGGGGCACCAGAGCTGCGAGCGGCGCATAAGCGCAGCACGGCGCGCACAAATTCGCTGCTGCATCCCAGGGCGGAGCTCCCCTCGCGCCTCGGCCTCGAGGCGCTCGCGAAGAGCGCGCCGCTCCTGAAGCTGCAAGGAGCAGTGCAGGTCCTGGAAGGCCCCAGGGCCCCGCAGCCACACCTCGCCGAGAGCCGAAACGCCCGGGTGCTGCTGCGTCCAGCTGTGGCGAGCGAGGATGGCCCTGGCAAGCCGCGCGTCTTGGCGGGAGACACACCGAGCCAGCGTCCTGGACACCATGGCCCGAGACACCATGGCCCGGCTGTTGCGGGACAGCACCAGATCTCGGGTCGCCAGGCCTGCTGCCTGCCGGCAGCGAGTGGCAAGGTCGAGCGCCTCAGGGGCATCAAGCCTTTCAAAGCAGACAAGCTTCTCACATTCAGCAACAAGCTTGGGGAAGAGGGGATCAGAGACCACCATCCGAGGGAGAGGACGGGGGCGCCAGCGATCATGAGACCCACACGGGCGAGCTGAGAGGACCACAGTGACGGGGCAATGGTCACTGACACCGCGCAGGAAAAGCTCCCGAGGCTCGTCCAACCTTGAGACCGTTTGACGGCCCTCACAGAGAATCCACGGGGGGGTGGCCGTAAAAGCCCTGTCGACGCAGGCTTCCGAACGGGTCCCCTGGTGCCTGCACGTCGGGGCATCCGCAGCGAGCTCGGTGAGCTTGCGGAAGATTTGTTTCCAGAGCCGATCCCCCGCCCGACCCTGCCGCCCCGCCCCCACCTCAGAGTTGGCGATGTTAAAATCGCCCTGCTGAATGAGACCGACACGCATCGGGTCAGCACGGACTAACTCACATTGCGATCGGACAGCTTCCAAAATTTCACGGAGAACCTCCGCTGGGATCTCAACATTATGGATGTTCCAATGGAACAGGCAAAAAGTTGGGGAGGTGATTTTAAGCATTAAAACACGCCCGACAAAACCTCCTTAGGCACAATAGAGAGATGTTGCTCGGCCCAGGGACCCGACGGAATAAGAGTGGCCACTCCCCCCGCATATGATCCTTCAGCATACGAGCTAAAAATTTGATGGGACACCCCTGCTCTCTGACACGCCTCCGCGACCGCGTCACAGGAGCCGTGGGTCTCTTGCAGACTGACAATAGCCTGGGGTGAGGCCAGCGTGGTCAGTACACGGAGACGACGGCTGACAGCAGGCGCGTCATGGTGGCACAGAGCGCGGGCGTTCCAAGTGACATACTGCACGGCACGCCATCAAGCCAGTTACTACCCACACCACACGATCTTCTTCGGAGCGAAGCAGGCCTTCCCGACCTCCATGACACTGGCGCAGTCCCAGCCCACGTCCACGATGCAGTTCTTGTTCCACTTGATGACGGGCGGCTCGTGCGGCGACACCTCGACCTTGGCCATCGGCTCCCACTGGTAGGTGGGGACACCCGCGTCTCTGTCCACGAACACGCGCCGCGGCAAGGTGAACGCGTTCTCGAATGCGGTGCGCAGCTGGCGACAGGCCTTCTCACGGGCGATATCGCCCCGGTTCTTGTCGCGGCCGACGTACAACTCCACTGGGCGCTGTCTTGGTCCCACCGCCTGAAACTTGCGCCACACACCAGGGCTAAGACGCAGAGCCGCCTGACAGTGCCGCATCCTTGCCAGGATGGTCGCCTCCACGGGGCCCGCCATGCGCAGCACGAATTGACGGCCGAGCTGCGGGCCCTCAAGCTGGCACTCCTGTCCGAGGGCGTAGGAGCAGGCGTCGAGCCACTCCTTAATGGCGTCCGCGACCATGCCCACCCCAACCTCTTCCTTAGCCGTGATCGTGAAGATGCTCGAATCGATCTCGCGACCCCAATCAGCAGTGCGCTGAATCGCCACACGCGGTGGAGCATGCTTGGCCAAGTCCAGCTCTCCCTCCAGCTGTGCGAGTC